GTGTGTGTGTCTGTGTGTGTGTGTGTGTGTGTCTGTGTGTGTGTGTGTGTGTGTGTTTTATAAATTATTTGACACTTAACATGGCACTCGCACTGGCGCATAAATGCTGATATTGCATATGATGCAGTTCATCAGGTCTTTGAAATTGAATTTAGATTTATTTTTTAATAAAAATTGCCTGCTTTATTTTCTTCAGCTAGTCTTTGTCAGTATAGACCTGTGGTTTTCAAGTATTTTCTGGCATGTTCCCCTTTGCAATTTTTGGATCAGTCATTATACAGTATGACTATCTATGTGTGTCTGATGTCTGTTTTATTTCACATTTGTTTTGCTGCCTGAAAGAAAAAAAAAACAAAAGCACTGTTTGCTTATGCTCCCACTTGAAAAATGTAAATTCAACTTTGGTTCTGCTCAGAGCATGTGAGCGGAGCGGGAGAGAGCGCGGATGGATTTTGGCCTGAGCGGGAGCAAGGGCGGAGCGGCATATTTGAAAAAACTAGTGTGTCACCTTGTCTTGTCTGACTTTCGCAGGGTAACTCTCACGCATCTGGAGTGACACTCACGCTTTCGAACTGTCACACTCACACAATAAATCCTACAGCAAATTTATCATTATAAACCTAAAATTAGCTACATCCAAAGCATTGGGGTAGTGTGCAAACCCTACAGTCAATTTACAAGGTAATATAACTCTTACATACATATAAATGCATGTGTGTGAGTGTGCAGATTTGTCTCAAATTGTTTTTGCATTCCAGAGCGGTAACGGACCTCCTTTCTTCAAATAAATTATTTTTGCTTTAATGTGGATTTGGCTGCTCAGTTATTTTGATGCCAGGCTACAGTTTAAGTTAAAATTAACATACAGTACAGATTGTTTTCCTTGTTGGAGCCAACAGTTAGCAATTTCATCAGAGCAGGCTGAAAATAGCCTGGAGTGGGGAGCGATAACTAACGGAGCGCTCTTCAGTGGTCGGAAGTGGGGTAAGCATACAGCTTTGTGTGCGATGAACATAAATTCTCATCGCTCCGCTCACATACTCTGGTTCCGCTACACATTTTAGCACACTCTCAACCTTGGATTTGTTGTGCTTCGCATCCCGCCAGTCAGTGCCACGTTGCCCCCCTGGGTGGGGAGCACACCACACACTTTGAGAATCACTGGTATAGACAATCTGGAACTCCTTCCCTCTTCTGACCAAAGACCCAGTGATGGACTGGCATTCCACCCAGGGTGTACCCAGCCCTGTGCCCTGTGATGGACTGGCATCCCACTGAGGGTGTACCCAGCCCTGTGCCCTGTGATGGACTGGCATTCCATCCAGGGTGTACCCAGCCCTGTGCCCTGTGATGGACTGACATCCCACTGAGGGTGTACCCAGCCCTGTGCCCTGTGATGGACTGGCATTCCACCCAGGGTGTACCCAGCCCTGTGCCCTGTGATGGACTGGCATCCCACCCAGGGTGTACCCCAGCCTAATGTCTTTCTCTCCCTGGGCTACTCAGACAATCAGTTCTTACGACCGCTGGTAGGTTTTCTGTTTTTTTCATTTTAATGGTATATGCTGCACTAGCTGTTCAAAGGGTATTTGTGTTTAACAAGTTTCTGTCTTTTTAAGGCTACAATGTGGCTCTTGCTTTTTTCCCTCTGCGCTGATGTCTCAGTGCTGGGCATAAACTTTCATCCATTTCCTCTTCCTTAAAATCACTGGTTGAGCAGGCAGTACCTGCAGCTCAGAAATAGGAAGTTGCTGTTTTGCTCTGCACAGGTCTTGCATGCAGTGCCCATCACCAAAAGCAGAGCAGGGGAAATATGCTGATTTGTTTCCATTTCAGGAGGAGGGTCAGGCCCAGCAGCAGGCTCCACTTCTGTCTGCCTGACAAGTCCCTGCGTGATGTTTTTAGGTACAGACCTTGAAGTTCCTCTTAGTCAAGTTGTGGTTCTGCATGTGAAGTTGTCAGGGTGTCACTTCCTTTTTTTCTGCAGATACAGGAATTACCGAGAATGTTTCTGAATACAGGGCAAATGTGTAGCCTTGCGTCTCATCTTCATCTTCGCATTGACCCACTGGCTACCAGATCCCCGGAACGTGACCCTGATAAGATTACAGACTTTGACTCGGACATCTGCTTACCTTTTTGGCTCTTTCTGGTTTCGACCCTGCTTGCCTGAGCAACTCTGTTTCTGCCTGCTCTCCCATGGGTGTTTCTGTTTTCTATTCTATTTCTTTCTTCAATTTCTATTCATAATTTATTCATTATATATTGTTCAGTACACTCACTGTTTCACCTGATGGTACTATTTTTCTAGTTTCATAGCTTGAAAAAATATTTGAACACTCACAATTACCATATTAAAAGTTTCCAAAGAGTTTCCCCCGTCTCCCATTGTCCTGGATAAAGTCATTAGCAACTGCTAAAACATCCACCTTGGACAAAAGATTCCTGTGCACATGGCCACGCATCAAGCTATTTAGCCTCTTTTGAGTCATTGTTGACCTTAAGTATTACTGCGTTCCATTTGAACTCATAACTAGGAAATTCTGAGTTCCTAGTCAAAAATTCCAATTGGAACACCCCCTGAAGTTGGAATTCTGGTTTGTGAAGTCAAGAAATTTACACAAGCCCGAGCTCAGAATTCAAGATGGCTTTATCAACAGAAGTTAAAGCCGTGGTTTCATACTGTTTATTAGCACTTACATTTTATTTGTGGCTTATTAAATTGGTCAGGCACACAGTACTGTCCATCCCCTATCTGTGGACGTGTTGCTATGGTGTTTTTATGTGCAAAATACCTCGTAATGTGTTGTAATCAACTGATACTGCTAACAACGGCTCACAATTAACTGGGCTAGAACTGGGGACTGTTTCAGAAAGAAGGATATCTTGCTTAGCTGGATAGTTTGTCGGATTTAAGGTAGTCTGGGCTAAATGTAAGTGAACAAAGATAAAGGCCATTTGAACTGGAGTACCTTAAATCCAGCTAAGCAAGAAATCCTGCTTTTTGAAACAGGTCCCTGGAATTGCTAAATGACTTTCTGACTTGCTGAACTGGAATAAGTTTAACTCACGTGTGACGTCATTTCCAGTTCAGAGTTCCGACCTCCGAGGTAAATGAGATGCAGCATCTGTTTTTATATGATGGAGGGTTGAGAAAGACCTCTCGGAGTTGCCAGTTGAAATTTGAATTATGTAAAACAATTTCAGCAGTTTGTACATCGGGCAATAGGGGTTTTATTACCGGGGAGTTTGGAACATGTGAGCAGCCATTCCATCATTCAGTTTGCGTGGGCGTCTATATTACCTGGGCAACACAGGGGCATCAGTTAGGTCTTTCGAATCCCATACCACTTTCTTCTCTTTCTCTTGAAATCATCAAATGCATGATTTGACCTCTTCTGTTGAATAAAGCACCATGCCACGACTTTTTGCACTTCCTCTAATGAAATATTTAGTTTGCAATGCCCTGCATAACTGTTCAATGGGTGAAAAACACTTCAGTTTAAGGCACAGGGCAAAGAATGTGTGGAATTTGTCAAGAACAGCCAAAATGCCCCCATCTTTGCTCACAGCTTCATCGTGTGATTCAATTATTTGTGTCATAATAAAGAAAAGAACAGCATAATTGTCTAGAACCAATTTCACTGCACCGGTTCATATAGTCCACTGCATTGCACATAGAGTTTGCAGGTTTTCATTTTTCAACACTTAAAATTTGTGGTTTTGTTTAGCCAATTGCTTCACTAGGTATGTCAGTTCTTGTACAAAGTCCAATGCATCTCTAATAACCTTACACTTTTTCTCAGCATCCTGCAGTGAGTAGTGCAATGCTCACCTGCTACGGAGTTGCTCTGTTTAAAGATTGCTGCAACTCCATTTAAATGACCAGGCATACTTGTGGCCTCATCATATGCCTGTCCCCGGCACATACTCAGCAAGGCCTTGCAGCAGATCAAGATGTCATTTAGTGCCATGAAAATGGTCAAGGCATCAGCTTGGGGTAAATCAAATAATCCAATAAAGTCCTCATGCATAACGTAACACTCATCAACCCAGTAAGACAGGCAAATGAATTGTTCTTTGAAATGTTTCTAGTTTCTAATCTGCTATAACTGCATAAAACAGATGTTATCTCTCTAATTAGCATCTCACATAAGAGTTTTTGTTTAGCTTAAGTTGAGTGTCTAGTTGAGCTGCAATGTTAGGTTGTTGAGAGTAAACCACTGGCCCTCTATGGTATATACTGCCTTCATGTTTCAGAAAATAACTGTTTTTCCCATTTTGAAACCCAAACACAGAAAATGTATTTTAATTGGTTTTGCTTAAATCACAGCCCAGTCCTGTCATTGTCCAAAACTGGCTTTGTAGGTAGAAATGTTTTAATCATATTTGACACAAAATTAGCAACCTGTATACTTTAAACGATGTTGAACAAACTGGTTTCTTTTGGTAGTCCCTTCTCCCTGAACTTGTTTCATACCTTGGAGTACAGAAGTGTCATCTGGTTGATGGGACTTTAGGAGATGCTAGCAGCATTCACTGAATCAACGTAATTTAACATAAACAATGCAACAATTTGAACTGAAACAAAGTAATTCTGCTGGGCTATTTGAGTTAGTTTCAGAGGTGCTCTGACTCGCTGGAGCAGCGACAGCAGCCACAGGGTTTAACATCACTGCTTCCACATTGGTTTGGACAATCGTAGTTTTCTCTGCTCCCTCTTTGGTGTTTGTGGACCCGAAAGAGTCACTTATTTTGTGACCTTTCATTCTTTGATAACTGTGTGGCGCATTTCACTAAATGTAACAATATGGGTCGATAGGCTGAAAAACAGTTGATCCATGAGATTCTCATTAGGGTCACATCATGCAATTAACCAATCAGTGTGTCTGTTATTTATTAATCAGTGTGTCTGTTATTTATTATGCAAAGTTTATGATTTTTGTTTGTGCCCCAGCTAAGTGTTCCTGGATTTCAGAGAGAGACACTCCCTACAGCTGCAAAACAGACCCCAATATTTCGCCAAACAGCTTAACATCATCCCAGGAGCAGCACACCTTGCAGTTTATCTCAGGATTATGTCGTGTTACATCTGAGAGAGATTAATTGTCATTGTTGACACAGCACATAACACTGAAATGTGTCCTCTGCATTTAACCCACATGTGACGTAGCAGTGGGCAGCCATTATTTAGCTCCAGTGTGTGGGGGTGATATCTTACTCATGGTACCTCAGTGGTACCTTGTTGGTCAGGAATTCAAACCAGCAACCAAAGTGCACTTCCCTAACCAATACCTTTAAGTGGGGGTGGTATTTCAATAGGTAGTGAATTCAGAGGTGTGTGTTTGGCTTCAGAAACCTGGGTAGACTGAAAGAACTTTCTTGTGGATTTTGCCTGGATGTGGCTCCTTGTCACATTCAGTACATCAGAATTACTTTTAACTGGACACAACTTTTCCTGTCTTTACATGTTAATGTACCAGTACTACTTGTATAGTGTATCCAGCACACTGGCTATGCCTCCTGTGAAAAAAGGGGGAACACATGATGACCTTTAGGAACATGGGCCTACACGGCACTTTAGAGAACACACAGGATATTTCACTGCATCTTGTTGGATCACACTGCACCTTACTGATGTAGTGTTTTCACCACACTGGTAGAAAGTCCTGGAAACATTATTGTGAAGATGTAGTGCTTCTGAAACTGTTTCCACCTTGGGGCATCTCTGGCGTCATTCACAGATCCACTATTTTTAACACAAGGCTGGCAGCCATTAAACACAACAAAAACATCAATACATTATGCATTTGTGTTTTCGCCTCTTTTTCTTTTTGCAGATCCCCCAATGGTAAATTGCTTCAGCAGATAATTTTACTCTCTCAACTGATACCTGCTGAACAGACAGCCATTAGAGTAAAATGCAGTATGCCCTCACAACTGCATGGGGTTGTTTTAGTATAATGTTGTATGAAGAGATTTGACCGTAATTGTCCCTGCAGTACTACTGATTTTTATATAGAGAGTTACTGCCTTTGGTGCTGGTGACCACATGGAAACAAACAAGTCAACTTTTGATCAAATCAAGTCTTAATTTTCAGTTGAGTTCAAGGGACCAGATCTAATGCTATATTTACATGGTTGCTTCGCAACATTGCAATATCTGCAGAACTTCTTTACTGAAAAAAATTCTTAGTGAATTCCCATATATATATATATATATATATATATATATATATATATATATATATATATATATATATATATATATACAGGGTTCGAAATTAACTTTTTTGATCACCAGCCAAAGTGGCTGGTAACTTTCTGAAGTTACCAGCCAATCAGAATTTCCATTAGACAAATTTTTA